CTCTCGAGTAATTATTTTTTTGGGGGGGGGGGTGAATAAAATGACCACCATTCGAAGCTCTCGAGTAATTATTTTTTTGGGGGGGGGGGTGAATAAAATGACCACCATTCGAAGCTCTCGAATTATTATTGGGGAGGGGGTAATTGCCCACGTTTGGCATTTCGTCTTATTCCATTGGAAACTTTATTCCATTTGGTCAAATCAGTAACTGGGATAGACACTGGAATATAAGACAAAAAATCTTCTATTAAGAGCTGTTTTACACAAATTTCAACTTTTCAACTTGGAGAGAAAAACAAAGTTGCCTTACTCTTCAACCCCCCCCCCTTCCCCCCTATGTTTAGTTATGAAAAACTATGGTGTGCATTTCATACTGAAATGTCTTGCTAGTCAAAATCTATTTGATTCTTAATATTATTTCGTCTGCTGTCCTGAAGAGAATGCCGAATTTAATAACACGGCCACATTCCGTAGAACACACTAAAACACGTGAGCTGTTACAAGCATGATGTTACACAATCCTTTGCTGGAGACATCTGGTAGTGTACTCGATAAATCCTGTCAGACAGAAGACATTTATATTCATGGGGTTTGACAAGGGGTTTGCCGTATTTAATTAATCTTGTCCTTGAATGAGAACTTTTTTCAGTCGGAAGGAATTTTTTAAACATCTGTAAGGTGTATTTGAAAATAGGCCTAATTAGATAATTTCACAATTTTAATCTCAATAACAGTTATCGAAAGCTTTTCAACTGTTAGAGATGGAGAACTATTATCAACACATCTAGTGTTGTGATTATATTTCTAGCTCTCCGTTATCGAAATAGTAAGTTCTTGTTATTAGTGTCTAAAACTGTAAAATTATTTAATGAGGCCTAACTTAAGATATGTCCGAGATGTGTATATATAAGTACATCTTCCCACTCCATTCAATGAAAGAATTAATAGAATACAATAACCTCTTGTCGTCTATAGAATATCAATGTCATCTACTTTGGGTTTGCTACCACGTCTCCGGCAGAGGACTGTAACCACGTGTTTTCTACGGCATGCAATGAAATATGACCGTGTTATTAAATTCGAATAAGTTGACATCGTATTAAAGGCAGCAGATGAAAGAACATTAAGAATAAAAACGAAACTGGCCATTAAGAGTTTTCAGCCTGACATAAATTAACGGATAATGTTTTCAACAAGTTAATTAAGAGTTCTTTTTAAAATATTTACTTCAATCTAAACAACAATTTATTAGGACATGAAAGTGTGGTTTCTCAGCCCCTCGACACCTTCATAGTTATTTCTTCGAGCTTCAGTACTTTAGCCCTTAAATATAAATAAACTAACATTCTTAACAACTGTGAGCTACAGTTTCAACAAGGTCGGACCTTATCAATGTAAATAAACTAACATTCTTAACAACTGTGGGCTACAGTTTCAACAAGGTCGGACCTTATCAATGTATATAAGCTAACATTCTTAACAACTGTGAGCTACAGTTTCAACAAGGTCGGACGTTATCAATGTAAATAAACTAACATTCTTAACAACTGTGAGCTACAGATTCAACAAGGTCGGACCTTATCAATGTAAATAAACTAACATTCTTAACAACTGTGGGCTACAGATTCAACAAGGTCGGACCTTATCAATGTAAATAAACTAACATTCTTAACAACTGTGGGCTACAGATTCAACAAGGTCGGACCTTATCAA